GTATACATTAGTGTGGTGGTAAACAAACCTAACGCCCCTCCCTCCCCCGCACTGTGTTACAAATCCCACTGTGTGTTATAAATCACGGTATAAAAATATATCGATCCAGCTACTTGACGATGTTAATTGCTCGAGTGAATTCGACTGGCATAGTCCTTTGGGGGCTGCTGGTTCTGCCATTCGGCGCAACAAAACGTACCTGCCCCCGTTTTTTCCGTAAATCAGCGAGCCACGCTGCCCCAACCTAACCCAACGGCATTCGCCGTGTTATAGAAAGCCGACGTTTAAAATCGACGTGCAACACTTCCCCGAGTCGATAAGCGTTGCTCGAGCGTTGCTGCCGCGTGCATTCGAAAAATCCCTCGAGTACGAGATTACGTGTGTTCAAAACACGCACGAAAACACGAGCGAGAATGGCACAGGGGGAACGTACGCGTTCTAATTAGCCAGCGATGAAATCGATTACTTACTTACAGTGTGTTACTTGCAGATCTGATTCTGAGTCGGTAGTACCAATGATACGTTCGAGTACGATTCGTTCTTTCATTCTTTTCCCCGAGAAGAGAAAAAGTTGAAAGTAAAAAAAAAAACTAGACGACAATTTTCTTTTTTTTTTTCCGCGTTTGTCTGTCAGTCTGTTTGAAAGTATACCTGCTACCTTTCGTTTCTTTTTTCGCTAGAGTCGTTCGATGTTCGACTCTGCTTGCGGTGTAGTTGCGAGCCTATCTCGCCGACAGACTCGCAATCTTTGCGAATTTGCAGTCGGACATGTCGCGACGTATTTCACTCGACCCAAATACGTGGGTGACTTACGCTCCAGCCGAAGACTCGGGTATAAAATAACTCGCGCAAATGTCCGTTCGATCGGCTTTGGAAAGCGAACGATAGCGCTGCTTTCTCATTCAACTTTCCGTATCAGCTGGATAAGGATTATAAGTAAATGGCAAAAACTCCACCACCCGGAGGAGTTATATCCTTCGAACGTGAGCGAGCAAAGTGTAATAAGCGAGTACGAATGTCAGAAGCGACGTAAATCAACGATATACCTTCCACCTTCCACCATCTCGTGGTAATGCTCTCGCAGTTAGAAACACTCTCTAGTGTTTCCAACTAAGCCGTAAATTACGTTCGGTGAAATTCAGCATAAAAAAGCGAATGCTAATTCTGCCCGTGCTACTTTTAAAAAAAGAAGAGGACTGGATGGCTTCCAGCAAGAAGCAAAATTTCCAACATACAGAAATTGATAATCAGAGATAATCGCGTTGCACCTTGCATTGCTGTACTTGTAACCTTGGCGAACTACGCATGTGTATAGCTCGTGTCCAACATAAGCGAGAGATGGAAATTTGCATACTCAGCGCGCTGAAGGCTCGTGCATGCACGGTGAATTCACTTCCGTGCATTAATTATGCAGCTTGGTTTCACTAATAATTTACGCGATCGACGCGCCGTTACATGCACTTTGACATATCAATTCAGTTCCTTGTACGTAATTGATTGCAAATCAATCACGCGTTCATAAAACACAAGTACTCGAAACTCGGGAAGAGAATCGAAAGAGATCTCGCTCATGTTTCGCGTGAAAGTAACACGCAACAAAGTTAGATGAAAGCGAATCGGCTCGTGTCGTTCAGAATTATTGTGTATTGCGTTTTATACTTTGATTCTCGTATCTATTTACACTGAGGAAATACTGGCATTGTAATCCAACAGGAAATGATGAAGAATCGTTACCACTACTACTACTAATACCAATTACATTTCCTTAGTCAAACTGATTTCAACACGATTTTAAATATGAATCATTGGTCAAGATCTAAATGAAACGAGTTCCATCAATACAGTGAAAAACGTAATTGAACGCACAATGATAAAAAATTGTCGATACTAAATCATACAACAATCTACTTGGTCTCGGAGCGTTTTTTTTTTTTTTTTGTCAAAGATATTTTTACAGCATTTTGTACCTCTAAAAATATTGAAAAATTCTTTTCGTGTGTCGAATCACACGGTGGTCCTGAAAATTGAAACTTTTCTTTTTCACAACGAAACTCTTGCTGTACGATTTTCCTTTTCCCATTTGATTCAACATTCAACGCTGAGATTAAGCGTTGGGATTTTTTTCAATTTTTGTCATTTAATCACAATGTTCAAAGTTTAATAAAACGACAGGAAAAGAAGAAAATTGTACAGTAAATTTTAAGGGGGAAACCTCCAATCTTCAAGGCCATGATGGATTTAGTTGTAAGACATTTTTACAATATTTTTTTCCTTTTTTCTCAAGAAAAGAACGCTTTTCTGTTTACACGAGCTGCGTAATGTAAAAATGTCTCGGAGGAGAAGAAAAAAAAAAAA